CTCCAGCTCGATCTCCCCTGCACACACACACACACACACACACACACACACACACACACACACACACACACACACACACACACACACACACACACACAAACACACACACTGAGCCATTTTTCCACATTGGCCGGATTAGGAACACTTTCACTTAGATCTATGCGGTCGCCCCCACAGACAAAGAAACACTTGGAGACAGGATTAGTAGGATTAAAAAGGACTCACATATGTCCAGTTCAAGCAATTGGTATTCAAAGCTTTACACTTTCAAATGCCACCAAGAGAGAGCAAAGCAGTCCCGAGCTTTTCTTTGCATTGCAGCACCTTTATGAGGAGCGATCCCCTTTTCAGCTTCCTCTGTGGCGCAGTGAATTCATGTCTTCACTCTTTTTATGAGGGGATTTTATGGCTGTGTGTGGAAAAAGCAGCGACGGGCAGACTGGTTTCATCCTGGGAACTTTACAATACTGCAGGACACTTTAGATATTTCATACTTTGCTTGTTCTGGTGGCCACCCTGTCATTTCCTCATGCACTTGGATTTGTAAGGTTTATAGCTACACCATGGTAAAACTAGATATACTGCATTTCTTATTAAGATATATATTTTTGAACAATGTTGCGCTTCAGAAAAGTAAATATACCAGTGTATTATAGCAGATTCAATACACACTTGCATTTATTTGTCATCTCAGTGATGTTGGCATTTATACACCTCCTTCTGAAAACATAATTTATTGACAAAAAACATTTAATAATCACAATTATCTTTATTTGTAATGCATAAATGTGTCTTTAGATGTGTTTAAGTAAATGAGCATGAATAAATATGATAATATTTGATATTATTATGAAATATATGCTCATAATAATCATTATTATGCCTCTTATTGTTGGGTCATCAGCTGTTTATATTAATTATGACCAATATTTATTCTACATTTTTGTATTATTATAAATATAGTGATTTATTTTCATAATGAAATGACAGTTTACTTTATAGCTAAATAATGTACAAGATTATTATCATTTAATGTTTATTATTATTATTATTATTATTATTATTATTATTACTACAGAATGTTAACTATTACAGAAAGAAATATATCTGCATTGACATACCGAATATGTTCCCTTTAGTTATTTTACACCTGGGAAATGAATAGAAATAAAAAGGAACGAACAAGCATTATATGACGAGTGCAATGCATTTAATCTTAATATTATAATATTTAGTCCATAAACATTTGCATTACTTAAACATATTCACCATTTTAAAACTTTTCTTTTTAACTCTGATTCGTCCTTCAGATTATTGTTAAAATTTCACTTTTAGGGGCTATAATTTGCTAACACATTTTAATATGGTTGTATTCCTTCATTTTAGTTATGAACAAACAATGAACAACACACTTATTACAGTATTTAATCATCATTGAGAATGTGTGAAAATAAAGTTGCTCATAGTTATTGTTAACTCGCAGTGCATTTAATATTAACAGCTGGGTTTTAATAATACATGATTAAATGTTGAACTGTGATTAACAAATGCTGTATTGTTACAGGTATTGTATGGATATTGTTTGTTATTAGTTCATATTAAAAAGTGTTGCATGCAGAACTGTTTCAAACAATTTATTTGTGTTGAATTTGAACAATCAAATTAAATTTAATAATGTTCAACTTAATTTGTTTGTTTAAATTCAGCCCAAATAAATTGTTTACAACCACTTAACGTAAAAAAATTGAGTAAATCCAAGGAATCATCTTTAAATATTTTTTTTTCAATGAAATCGTATTGAAAAGTGACTTAAAATGTTGAGCTTTAAAATGTCTCTGCATAACTTTTAATGCTTTATTTTTAAATAACATATTATTTCTAATGAGGTGCTTGTGATCATTGGTTAAGCTAGTTACAATCAACATCATTTGAAGGAATCTGATAATACACTGCACAAAATGCAGGTTCCACACAATTCCTTCATGTTGTCAGAAATTAAGTAGATTAAATCATTTAAAAAAAATTAAAGTGGACTGAACTTAAGTTGATTTCCCCTAAAAGTGCCCCCAATAAAACACCTATGTTGAATTAGCTCATTTTAAATAAGTAGTTTGTACAAGACACAACAATAATTTTTGGAGTGTACATGTAAAATATGCTGGGTTCAGCACAAGTCCTTCATGCTGTCCCAACTTAAATCTATTAAGTTAACATAATTGTTTTTTTTTTTTACAAATTTAAATGGATTGAACATAAAACAATTAGTGCCAAACAAAATATTGAATTCACATCAAATTACCAGCAAAGTAAGTTTTGAGTGTGCATAAATCAATAATAATAACATTGAATGTTTAATTTTCAATTGCATTTTTTTCATATCTAATAAAGTGTTTATGATCATTTATTAAATTAAGCTCGCTACAATCAACATCATTTGAATAAAGCTGATAGCACACTGTACAAAATGCAGGTTCCACACAATCCCTTCATGTTGCCCCAACTCAAATCTATTAAGTTAACATAATAATTTTTAACAATTTAAGTGGACTTAACTTAAGTTGATTTCCCCCTAAAGTTCCCCTTAATAAAACAATCATGTTGATTCAGCTCATTTTAAACAAGTATTTTGAACAAGTCGCAACAATAATTTTTGGAGTGTGCATGTAAAATATGCTGACTTTCACACAATTCCTCACGCTGTCCTAACTCAAATTTATTAAGTTATCTTAATCATTTTTACTAATGTACCTAAGTGGATTGAACTTAAAACAATTAATTTGTCCCAAACTAAAATCATGAATTGAATGTTGGTTCAGTTCATATGAAATTTGTTTAGAAAACCAGCAAAAGTAATTTTTGAGTGTGTATAACTCAAAATGAATAATAACGCATCTGCACACCGTTTAATGTTTAATTATTAAATTGCATTGTTTTTCTTGTCTAATAAAGAGTTTATGATCCTTTAACACATTAGGCTCATTGCAATCAACACCATTTGAACAAAATGCAGGGTTTTACACAATCTCTCCATGTTGTCCCAACACAAATCGATTAAGTAAATTGAATCATTTAAAAACCCAAAAAGCCCCTCGATAAATCAATCATGTTGATTCAGCTCAATTTAAATAAGTTGTTTAAACAAGCAGCAACAATTTTTTTTGGTGTGTAAATTAAAAAAAATGCTGGGTTCCACACAATCCCTTAATGTTGTCCCAACTCAAATTGATTAAGCTACATTAATTATTTTTACAAATTTATGTGGAGTGAACTTAAAACAATTATGTTGTCCCAAACAAAAATTATGTATTCAATGTTTGTTCGATTTGTATTAAATTAGTAGTTTGGACAACCAGGAAAAGTGTGTACAACTCAATAATAAAAACCATAATAACTCATCTGCACAACATTTTATGTTTAATTATTAAATTGCATTGATTTTCTTGTCTAATAAAGTGTTTTTGATCATTTAACGCATTAAGCTCGTTACAATCAACATTGAAGGAAGCTAATAATACGCTGTATAAATGCAGGGTTCCACACAATTCCTTCATGTTGTCCCAACACAAATCAATTAAGTAAATTGAATCATTTTAAAAAATTTAAGTGGATTGAACTTAATTAGGTTGATTTCCCCAAAAAGTGCCCCAAATAAAACAGTCATGTTGATTCAGCACATTTTAAACAAGCAGCAACAATCATTTCTTTGAGTGTACACTGTAAAATATGGGTTCCACACAATTCCTTCATGTTTTCCCAACTTAAATTGATTAAGTTAACTTACCAACTTGTCCCAAACAAAATATATATATTCAATGTTGGTTCAATTGATATCAAATTAGTAGGTTAAATAACCAGCAAATGTTATTTTTGAGTGTGTATAACTCAATAATTATAATAATAATGCATCTGCACAAAATTTAATGTTTAATTTTGCATAGTTTTTCATGTCTAATAAAGTGTTTATGATCACTGCATTAAGCTCCGTTACAATCAACATCATTTGAATGAAGCCAATAATAGAGTATAACACAATAATAATAATAATAATAATAATAATAATAATAATAATAATAATAATAATAATCATAACAATAATAAAAATAACAACAACAATAATAATAATAATAAATAATATAAAATAATAATAATAATAATAAAAATAATAATAATAAATAAAAATAAATAATAATAATGATAATAGTAGTAGTAGTAGTAGTAGTAATATTTTTTAAATAAAATAATAATAATAATAATAAAAACGCATCTGCACAATTTTAATGTTCTAATTTTAAATTGCATTTGTTTTGTTTAATAAAGCTCTTACAATCATTTGATTAACGCGTGTATCTCGTTACAATCAACATCATTTGAACGAAGCTGAAAACAGAGTATAACTTAAATATTAATAATAATAATAATAATAATAACTCATCTGCACAACTTTGCTGTTCTAGTTTTGAAAAGCATTGTTTTTCATCTGTTTAATAAAGCGCTCATGATCCTTTGGTTAACGCATTAAGCTCGTTACAGTCAACATCATTTGAGTGTATCTGATGATAGAGTCTACCTCAACACCACTAACAACGCATGCCGACACACTGCTAATAACTCAGCAGTCGGTGTGACATGAGTGATGCGCGGTGCGGCGTCGGTTTCTCCGGTGTGTGCGCAGAATCTGCGGGGCTGAAGTGTCTCCCCATGGTGTCCACACAATGAATATGAATAGCTGCTCCTCTGGTCAATGGGACAGTCAAAGCGCGCCGCCGCGGATAATGGGCACGTCATCCTAACAAGCCCGTTATCAATAGAGGGGCTGCTTTTGTTTGGCCCCTCATCCCGTATAAATACAGAGTCCTGTGAAGAGACGACACAGAGAGACTGAGGAGAGAGAGACTTATACACACAAACTGAGGAGGAGAGAGAGATTTATGCACACTGACGAGGAGAGAGACTTATACACACCAACAAGAGAGACTTGAACACACTCTGAAGAGGAAAAACACACTTGTGCACACACTGAGGAGGAGAGAGAGACTTGTGCGCACACCGAAGAGGAAAAAAGAAACTTACGCACACACTGAGGAGGAAAGAGAGACTTGTAAACACACTAACCAGAGAGAGAGAGAGAGAGAGACGTACACACACACCAACAAGAGAGAGAGAGAGAGAGAAGACATCAGGTGATCCGGCAGGAGTGACTTCAAATAAAAACACAACGAGCCGAAAAAAGAGGCAACCTCCTACCCAGGCGCATCCATAAAATGAATTCGGACTCGAGCTCCAGCAGATCTTCCTCTCCAGACATGGATGGGATGTACCACCACCATCACCACCACCATCACCACCAGGACGGCCTGCTAAACTCCGTGTCCTCCACCCAGAACGAGCTGCTGCAGAAGATGGCCAGCGAGCACCTCTCCAAGACGCCCAGCGGCAGCAAGTACAAGCTGAAGAAGCAGGTGACCGAGCAGGAGATCCAGCAGCTGCGGCTCAAGATCAACGGGAGGGAGCGCAAGCGCATGCACGACCTGAATTTGGCGATGGACGGGCTCCGAGAGGTCATGCCGTACGCGCACGGGCCTTCCGTGAGGAAGCTCTCCAAAATCGCGACGCTTCTCCTGGCTAGAAATTACATCCTGATGCTCACGAGCTCGCTGGATGAGATGAAGCGGTTGGTGGGCGAGATTTACGGCGGACACCACTCTGCGTTTCACTGCGGGACGGTGAGCCACGGCGGCGCGCACTCGGCTGGCGCCGCGCACCAGGTGCATCATCCTCTCCTCGGGAGCGCGCTGAGCGGGTCCACCTCTTCTACGCTTTCGTTACCTGGACTTACATCCATTAGGGCTCCGCACACTTTGATGAAGAGCACCCCGACTCCTCCGCTTCAGCTCGGCGGGAGTTTCCAGCACTGGGCGGGTCTTCCGTGCCCGTGCACGATCTGCCAGGTCCCGCCGCCTCCACACCTGCCCATCACCGCCACCGGACTGAGCAGGATCTCCACAGAGAACAAGGAAGTGATGAAGTGAACACATCACTGTGTGTGTTTGCGTGCGTGTGCACTGTAAAAGTATCCGTTAATTAATATAGTGTCCGCGTTTTTGGTTTATTTACGGTTGTGAATTGCATCATGAGATTTTTTTATGCTGACCATTTTCACTCTCTAGTTTTACAAAGTGACTTTTATTGACATTTTAGTAGTTTGTAATAATATAATGCATACATTGAGAGGAATACGTGTGTAAAATAAAAGAAATTGTAGTTTATTACAAGGTTTTTGTATAGCGTAATTGGTGCGCAACACAAACCCAGATGAAATGTCACTTTAAACTATTAAAAGTGATCATAAAAGTCACTTTTTCAAACTTTTTGCAAGGTTAAAAGTGGAAGAAGACTGATCGAGGCCACACAATGCAATTCACAACCATAAGCAATTAAATAAAAACGTGAATCACAAAATACGGGCAACCGCTAATATACGGATATTATTTTACAGTGCAGCCTAGTGAACTGGACTTTTGCATGATCTGTTTGTTTTGTCTGTCTGTGTGTCTGTTTTAGACCTTACGAATTCACAAGTTCGTCCTTGTAACAAGGATCTCATCGATTGCTTTTGTAAGGTGACTCCTCTACTGTAAATAGCGCGCGCGTTCACTGTAAATGAGAGATTAAAGTGTCTATTTGGAGGTGAATATATGTGTTTGAAGCTGCCCTGGAAACGCGAGCACTCCCCTGACGAGAGTACGCGGAAAAATAGCAGATATTCGCTGATAAACATGTCTGAAGTTCAGCCAGTGCTTTACAATGTTAGTTAATGTATCTACTAACACGAACTATACATTAATTACATGGTTTATTCAGCATTGTTAATGTTGATGATGCAATGCAATGCAATGAACTTATGTTAGCACACAGTGCATACTGTGAAAAAGAGATTGCTGACTTCAAATTTTAGTTGAATCAAATTTAATTGTTTAACTTACAATACTCAAACTGACTAATGTTAAGTTAAACTTTGGAGACCTTGAAAAATAGTTGAAATCTGATTAGCTTATTAAAATATGGTTGGCTGTCTTGACTTTTTGTCATTGCATCATTTACAGTGCTTTCAAGCATTATTTTAATGTTGAACTGTGATTAATAAATGCTGTTAATTTTTAGTTGATGTTAATGAATACATTAACTGATGAAACCTCATTGTAAAGTGTGACCGAAGCTCCTGTGTTTTTGGCGCTAAACTCGTATGAGGAAACTTGATCACGTGATTTGCACGTTTTTCTTCGAAGGGCATGAAAAGACGAATTCCACGTGTTCCTTGTAACAAGGATTGTGAAATATGACATTTCAGATGAAAACCGTACGACTATGGATTTAGTTCGCACTAGAGTGTTATTATTATTATTATCGATTATTTTATTCACCCATTGTCAGCCTGAGTAATTCAGTCGTGTTATTTCTGTGTCGTATCTTTATTTGAAATTCTTCAGCATGGCATCTTGTTCAGACAAACCTGTAAGCATGATCCTTTTTTTTCCTGGGAAAGTTTTGTTATTCCAGAGAGATTGCCGTGGTCTTTATTTTTGTACATTCTTGTTGACAAATGAGATATTTATTATTGCCCAGTGTTCCTGGATGAAATTTCAATAAAACGTACTGTTATAAAAATGAAATGTTATGTTTTGTGTATTTTGTAACGTGCTGTGCGTGTTAAAATTAATTTTCTTTGTGCATTTATTTAAAAATGCGAATTGAAAGAGTTCGCGCATGGTGAATATGGTGGCTATTATGGCAACCAGAGATTAAAAATTAATAACTAGAAAATTAATAGTGTTTTACCATATTTATTTGTTATAAAAAATTCGAATGAAATGTGAATTCAATTCGTCACAGGCAAAAATTATTGCCTTGGCCTCTCAAAATAAATACGCGTCGCGGAATAATAAATAAATAAGTTAGAAATAATCAAACAGAAAGATAAGAAATAAAAATATCGCTTAGTTTCAGCGTTTGAACCTAAATCTGTATTAAATATGGTTTAAATAATCATAATAATAGCAGCAAACATTTATTTTCACGTATCATTCTGGGATGGTGAGAAATGTGACACAGCAAAATTAATTTAATAAGAGTATCTGATCTATAAGGATAGTTTAATGACAAATTAAAACGTTTTTACACGTATAATATTTATTTACAGCAATACATATCAAAACAATATAATTGTTAGTATATAAATAGCAAAAGCTAATTATACAAAATAATTAGATAGAAATATTGCTGCTCACACTTCACAATAGGTTTAATTAGTTAATGTTAGTTGAATTGATAATAAAAAAACTTTTATTAATCATAGTACAACATTTAATAATACATTTTTAAAACTCGTAATCATGCTTATTAATGCACTGTGGGTTAAAATGAATGGACAACTCTATTATCATTAACTAATGTTAATTAGCACGATCAAATACTGTAATAATTGTATTGTTCGTTGTTGTTCATGTTAGTAAATGCATTAACTAATGCAACCTTATTGTAAAGTCTTACCAAAACAGTCTATATTCATTCATTCATTCATTCATTCATTCATTCATTTAGCCTACTTTTCGGCTTAGTCTCTTATTAATCTGCGGTCGCCACAGCGGAATTAACTGCCAACTTATCCAGCATATGTTTTACTGCAACCCATCACTAACATCCATGCACACTCATTCACACACATACACTACATTTTTATCTTACCCAATTTACTCAAAGCGCATGTGTTTGGACTGTGAGGGAAATATGAGCACTCGGAGGAAACCCGCGCGAACACTGGGAGAACATGCAAACTCCACACAGAAATACCATCTGACCCAGCCGAGGCTCGAACGAGCGACCCAAAACAGTGTATATTATAAATAAAATGTAGTTTTAATGATCTAATCTCTATTTAACCTGATCTGATAATTCCTCAAGGAAATATGATCTCATAAAATAAACTAGACAAATGGCAGAATATTTCCTCCAGCATCATCAGGAGCAGCCCCTATGCTAAAACTGCGCTGGACACGACTGAAGCACAAAGGCGGTCCCTCGGGTCCTTTCACAGGCAGCAGCTGAATGTATGTTTGTAGAGATTACAAGTTAATTGTTCATAGGGGAATGCGAGAAGAAAACATCAGAGAGAGAGGGAGCGCGGATTACAGGACCCTAAATGCGGAAGATTAGATATTCAGGGCTCTATTCTTGGGCCATGTAAATGAGGCGACGGATTAAAAAGCTCTTTGTAACTAACTCGTCGAGGGGCTCAAGTCCCTTTTTAGACAAGTAACAAGACGAGTCTGCATGGGCGAGAATGCTGAGCTAGTTCTGCACTTTGTTTTTAGGGTGTATGAACACTGGCCAGAGATGGAGGCAGATGGACGGACAGGAAAACGGCACATCTCTAATAGACATTCGCGATATTGCATTAATTTATTAGGGATTTTCAGTTTTTTCGAGTCAGAATATGTCGGATGAGTTTGAAAATAAATAAATCAATGAATAAATAAAGTATATATAATATACAAAAATATAATAATATAAAATATAATAAATAAATATAATATATAAAGTTATATATATATATATATATATATATATATATATATATATATATATATATAAGCCTTGAAAAAGTTTTAAAAAGCGAACTTTATAACTATCTTTAATAGTTTAAGGTGATATATTGTCTGACTTGCATGGTATTGAATATTACATCACAAAAACCTTGTAATAAACTGCATTTTCTGTTATTTATTTACTTGTATCTCTCTATAGTAGCTATTTCTTATACAATATATTATTTCAAACGACTAAAATGTCAATAAAAGTGTCTTTATTAAACTGTACAGTGAATTTTCAACATCCAAAGCCGACAGAGCAGAGGTCAACATGCAATTCACAAAATAACGTGTAAAAAGCTGTATACATGGAATAATGTAATGTAAGTGTAATATATTAATAATAATAGTGTAAACAAAAAACTGTAGTCTATATATAATGTATTAATTAACAGTATTTAGTGATTTACAAGTGTTTTCCGTTTATTTAAGTTTGTTGATACAGCGTAACTATTCATTTGACTATACTGAATGTACGCTGAATGCAGATTTTTTTTTTAACCCAACGCCGGGTCAAACATGAATTTGACATGAACATTTTAAAAAATGACTCTTTTTACCACAACCTTTGGGGTTGTCTATTTAATCCAACACTGGTTTAAAACAACTCAGCATTTTTTTAAAAGTATAATATTAATGAATCACAATTTAACAAGCTAAGTAAATAATGCCTAATGCATTGTATGAAGTAACACGTGTAACCTTATGGTGTCAGTTTTTTTTTTTTTAGCAAAATCTATGGATAGAAATAAATATTTTTTGTGAATGTGTGTGTGTGTGTGTGTGTGTGTGTATATATATATATATATATATATATATATATATATATATATATATATATATATATATATATATATAACTATGTGTAACACATGAAAGGTAAAAAAGCACAACCTATTTGCGTTAAAAAGCAGAATGTGATGATATTTAGAAATATGGGACAGTTATAAATGACACTGGAAGCCATTCAAATTACAAATGGACGCGTCCGAATCACTATAACTCAAGGAAAAGCATGAAGGCGGCCAGACATCACCAATTATTCCTCATGCTGAATGTCATTTTAATTCTGCTTTTAATTCTGCAAGATGAATAATGCAAGTCTATTTTTCTTTTTATGTTAAATAATCCGTGGTCCTTTGTTTTTAATCCCTAAATGTAAATAATTTGGTCATTGAAATTGAACAATCTGTCGTACGTTGTAATTACTTTTAAGCAAATAACAAATAAGCACGTGGTAACTCAGTGGTTAGCACTCTCGCCTCACAGCAATAAGGTGGGAAGTTGAAAGTTTCTGTGTGGAGTTTCCATGTTCTCCTCGTGTTGGTGTGTATTTCCTCGGGGTGCTCCGGCTTCTCCCACAGTCCAAACACTTGCGCTATCGGGGAATTGATGAACTAAATTGGCCGTAGTATACGAGTGTGTATGTATGGTTCCCAGTACTGGGTTGCAGCTGAAAGGGCATCCTTTGTGTGAAACGCTGGTGGTTCATTCCGTTGTGGCGACCCCTGAAGAATAAAGTCACCAAACCAAAGAAAAACGAATGAACTGAATGAGCACATGCGTTTGAACAAAAAATGATGTAATTTACAGAACACGTTCCAATTTTTATTTCAAAGGCGTTCTAAAAGTGACGCAACATTTGAGTCTTGTTCCAAATGCTGCCCCTTCAGCGTTCCACACTTAAACATAGCCTAATCATATAGCTTTTGTTGATTTTTGTTTTAATACTAACATCATTTAAAGGAAATACACCTTTATTTTTGTAGTGCTAAGCTCTTACACACTGGCTGTAACATTATTTTAATATATCAAAATATGTATTTACAAATTTGTAATTCCAATGGTTGAAAAAATATGCAAAAAACATTTTTCGTAATATTTTAAAATATATGTTGCGTATATAACATATTTTTTTAGATTTGTAAAATCCAAACATGGATTTAATGGAAAAAAAACATGATTGTCTTAAATATTTAAGCTGAATCAAATTAAACTAATGAGTCCATTGAAGTTATTATGTTAAACTGACTTAAAACTGCTCATGTAATTTATAAAATTAAGTTAGAACATGATTAACTTAAACTAAAACTTAACTAAAAGCATAATCTGTCTAACTGATCAGATATTTTTACAGTGTATGTCATTTACATTGTAATTGTGTGTGTGTGTGTGTGTGTGTGTGTACTTGCACAGTGCTCAGCTCAAATACCTGTTTTGAAAAAAGAATATGTTTGATAAATAAACCCCAGAGAAGGTTGTGCTTGAAAATCCCAGTAGATCAGCAGTTTCTGAAATACTCAGACCATGCCTGTCTGGCAACAACAACCATGCCACGTTCAAAGTCACTTAAATCCCCTTTCTTCCCCATTCTGATGCTCAGTTTGAACTGCAGCAGATCGTCTTGACCATGTCTACATGCCTAAATGCACTGAGCTGCTGCCATGTAATTGGCTGATTAGAAATTTGCAGTTGGAGCAGTTGGACAGGTGTACCTAATAAAGTGGCCAATAAAGTGTATGTTGCATATAAGGCAAATACTTTATATCTGTAAAATCAAAACATGGACTTACGTCACATGTGTCAATTACACTGTGCTTGAGTCATTGTGTGTGTGTGTGTGTGTGTGTATTGCTCAGCTTAAATAACCCCTGTTATATTCATATTGATAATGTTTAATCAATTCCTCAGTGCATATAGCCAATAAATTTGGTGCATTTACAAATCAGTTTTATTAAGCAGTTATATCCATTAAAATAAGAGTTTGGTCAAACGAACCTCTTTAGCAATAAAAACAATACATTTAAATTCATATGAGTTATTGAAGAAAAGATACAAACTACAAAATTTCAACTAAATATTTTATATTTTTTATGTTTCTCTTAATTTTGTCCTGTTTATTAAAATGTAATAATATCTGGACTCCGATCTTCAGTTTTTTATTAGATTTTGGTTCATGTTTTGGTTCTGGAATTGACTAATCTAATATACAGAGTCAGAATTACTAGCCCGCCTGAATTTATTAA